CCCCAAAACCCCAAAACCCCAAAACCCCAAAACCCCAATTGAGTGGGGAGATATTGAAAAACCTTTGGAGTAGTTTTAGTTTTCTTCATAAATCATTAGGTTCTCTGCATAACACAAGTACACTTTGAGCTTGGCCATTTCTACTTCTGAGAATCCGTTGTTCTTGAAAGTGATGCTGGAGATCCCTCCTCCGACTTGTTGAGGGTCGCCACTTGGTGATCGGGAAGGAAGGCCTTCACAGTTGAGGAGGAGTCCGATTTGGTCAGCCTTATCATATCTATAAGTTTATAATTTGTTGATTGTTTTGGTGCTTACTGTTTAGATTCCTCAAATTCACATTTTATAAAAGATATTCCATAAAGAGGTCTTAAATTTTCTTCTGGGGTTATTATTTCAATATTTTGTACATTTTCCTCAGTAATTAATGGGAATTTTCATTTAGTAAACACCAGGCTTTTGATACCGTGATTCACTCAGGATTGGAGTAGATTTTCTGTAAGACTATAATTAGTTAATATTATTTTCTAAAAAAAATCATATATCTATCAATTTCTTTCATGTAAAATTACATTTGTACCGCCTCATCATCTTCATCTCCATCACAAAAATTGAATTTAGTGAGATTCATCCAAAAAGGAGCCTTCAAAATTTCAAACTCTTTTTGATGTTTTTCTTCTTCAATTTCAAGATCTTCATCACTGATCATAAAAATATCAATCAGCCAGTCATATTCCCTATATTAAGATTGAGGAACTATTGAGTCTTAAAGGCTCGAAATCACAGCCAGACAAGTTTAAAGCGTAACATTATTAGTGATTTTTTCAGATGTACAGACCCTGGTAAAATCCATTGTTTATCATTTTGAAAGTAATTGAACTTTGAAGAAGCTATAATCTGTAGATCTTCTAAATCATAATTTATTTCCCTGTAGGGCTCTATTTATTATATTATTGTTGTACTGAAGGAAAAGGAATTTTCCTGCTGATTAATGATAAATATGTTCTGGTCATTTGAATCTTCTTCAATTTCTGCTTTTCATTTGTATTCTTTAAGACGTTTTTCTAATTTCTCAATGAACTTCTCAAGCTTTCTATTAGGATAATTGCGTATATCTATACCAAAAATCTCATAAAAAATCAATACAAATAAAAAGAACTCAAAATGTACATATCTGACACCAACATACCTGCAAACTTATCAACCCCTCCGCTATACTCATCTATTTGTCTCATCAACCCTTTTCATTGCTTGACTAGGCTCTTCCTTTCCTCTTCCTGCAATTTATTTATTTCTCTCATTCTCTAACAGCTCTTCATATCTCCTTCTTTGCTCTTCATCCTCCTTCTCCTCATCCTCTTGTTCTTCCTCCTCTTGCTCTCGGTCTTTCTCTTCCTCCTCTTTTTCTTGTTCCTGCTTCCTCTGCTGCTCTTCGACTCTTTCAAGTACCTCTTCCTTGACTTCCCTCTTGAATTCTTCCTGCTTATCTTTACTGGCCATATTACTTCTGAATTCAGCATCAGGTTTGTCTATGTTCCAAGGGAGTTGGCTCTGAGGAGGGATACTCATTTCTGGTAGAGGAATGGGTTTGGGACTTTTGATAGTGGGATTCATTAGGGGCTTGGAAGGCAAGGGAAATTTGCCTGAGGATGGGCTTGCAGAAGAGTTGTGCTTTGGAGGATGGTTGTCTTTTAGAGGAGACTTAGCTCTATGGGGTTTGTAGCCTTTTAGATCTAGAGAGAGTGTAAATGAGGCTTGGATTGAAGTAAACTGTTTGGAATAGCTTTTAACTAAACAATTTTGAAATTTTAATTACTTTTATGAGAATCTTGGTCTTCAACACTAATACTTTTATCTTTTTCTATTTCGATCGGAGGCGTTAAAGGTTTACATGGTTCTAAAATATATTTATTTTCATTATCTCTGGAACCTATACCCATAAAATACCATTCTAACTTATAATTTCTTTCTTTTTCTTTATTTTATCTACTTTTTTCTCATATTCTCTTACTTTTGCAGCACCAAAAGCTTTGTTTATTCTTTTATTATCTCACCCCTTATCATAGTCGGACCGTTGACCTCCAGGTTTCAATAAGGATTTACTATTACCTTTATCTCTCTAAACAATGAGCTAGTTGATACTTGATCTTCAAAATTTACTAAATGAAAGTTAGAGATTCAGTAATACTTAAGACTCAGGAATAAAATTTAAAGTTCAAATTTTAGGGAAAATTTTGATTTTCTTACCTTCGATATCTTCTTGATTATGAGATGTGATTCTAGAGAAAGATATGAGTTAGATTGTTCAGAGTTTTCAATTTTTAAGAGAGGAAGAATGATTTTTAGAATTTAAATTTGAATTTACTGGATGACTCACTTTCTATTATATAACTCAAAATCAGAGTTTCCCCCTCTAGTTTTCTTAAGCCAGATGATTACAGCAATCAAACCAACAAGGAAGACTATCACAAGTATGGCTATTATCAAGCCTGTGGTACTAAGCCCTCCTTCATCATCAACTTGCTGTATCTTTCCTTGTCCTCCTAAACATCATCAAACCTTTTCTTACTCGTATGGTTACTTCCATTGTCATGTTGCCACCCATTCTGCATATGGGGCATTTCAAAAATAAGGGCTTGATCCCAAGCGTACAAATCTGAGCTGTCCGAAGACTCCATTAAGAAGATAATTTAAATTATTCGTTCAATATTAATGAAAATATGGGGTTTTGGGGTTTTGGGGTTTTGGGGTTTTGGGG